GCGTTGCGGGTGGGCGCGGAAGGTGGCTTTTTGCCAGGGTGCGTGACCGGAGCCCGCCCCCCGGGGCTGGAGGTGGCTGTTGCTCGCTAGCGCCTGGTGGTAATGATTGACGTGGTGTGTGTTGTGTGTCCGGAAGTCGGTCTGACTGACTTGGTGTGTGTTGTGTGTCCGGAAGTCCGTCTCGAGGACGGCGAGGCCGGGCCAGGGGGGGGCCGAGCTGCTCCACGACCGCGGCGGGCAGGTGCGCCGAGTGGGCCTGCGCCCCGGGCCGCCGGTGGGGACGGGAGGGGACCCCGGGAGACACCCCGCGGCCGGGGATCACTTTCGGGGCGGCAGTCCGGCCCTTTGGGGGCTTCGCTTCTCGTGTGGACGCGATTTCTCGGGCACCAACGGACACTTGTTGCCTCTGCATCCCAGGCCATGACCCAGGTGCCACATCACGGCCATGGGCTCCCGGCTTTCCGCCTCCGCTCGTCCGCCCGCCTGCGCGCGGAGGAAGGAAGAGGACGGCGACCCGTGGGCCGAGCGGGAGCAGGACGAGGCCATCGCGCAGTTCCCGTACGTGGAGTTCACCGGGCGGGATAGCATCACCTGCCTCACCTGCCAAGGGACGGGCTACATTCCGACAGGTGAGGAGCAGCTCGCCCTCTTCCGGGAAGCAGATGCCAAGTCAGGAGAGGAAACCGGCTTGGAGGTACTCGGTTTGCGTGCCACCAGACGAAGCGCAGGCTCGCCTATGACTGCGCTGACCCTCAGGAAGCCTCAGCCCTAGCCCAGGTTTAGAGCTGGTCAGAACCCCGGGAATCTTTTACTCCAAAGATGACGTCGAGGAGACCGTGGCCTTGTTTAATAAGTGTGACGTTGAGAGGAAGATGCCCCGGCAGTCCTTGCCATTACAGGAAGACTTTGGGCCTCTGCTTCCTGGGTCAGGTGTCTCCCCAGAGGACCTCACCTTTCCCAGGCCTTGTGGTTGGCTGATGGTAATGCCAGGTCAGAGCCTAGATTGCCCAACATCGATGGGCAGCACTGATAAGGTGTTGTTTTGGTTCGGGGGTTTTGTGTACTTTTTGTAATTTGTGGCACTGTTGTCATTTGCCATATATACTCAAGCATAAGCCAAGATTTTTCCAGCACGTTTTTATGCTGAAAAAGCCCCCCAGTTTTTTTGTGGTAAAATTAGATGCCTCGGCTTATACTCGAGTATATACAGTATTTGTTTCATATTCATTGGGCCCGAATGTGAAACTAACATTTCAGAAAGATCTGATTCCAGCCAGCATGCTCTAAAACACGGAGGGATGTACTTTACTGCCAGCGCACAGGGCTTGCCAGCGTGACTGTTTGGTTCTTTTCTAGAACAAGTAAATGAGTTGGTGGCTTTAATCCCACATAGTGATCAGAGATTGCGGCCTCAGAGAACGTGAGTCCACTCGCCTCCCGCCTCTTCGTATGTCCCTGGTCTCTCTTTCTGTGTCTGGGTGCCAGTGAACCTTTTGAGAACTGCATCTGTGCTTGCATCGTCCCCACGTCCTTTACGCCTGCTGCTCAAGGCAGGTGTCCCCAAGTCTGGGGAACAGATCCTGAAGCGAGGAACCATCTGAGGGTCTGGTGAAAGGGCCAGGTTGGAGGAGAAGAGGGGAGGGGTGGTTCTGGGAGGTGAGGAGGTATTTTGGTCCACACAGCTCCCCTCAACTGCTTTATTCTAGAAAGCAGGCAGCATTCAGAGTCCTCTCCCATTGTGCTCACGCGTGCCCGGTGTGTGGTTTCTGGCCCTTTGTACTTTGTCTGCTCTCCCTTCACGCCTGGCTTGCATTTGGTCTAAGTGATTGGGCCTTTGTGTCTGGCCACCCGGATCAGTTGTGAACTGTGTCATTTGCAGTAAACAGTATGTCCTCCTGTCCATCTCACTCTGTCTGCTGGTGTCGGGACTGGTGGTCTTCTTCCTGTTTCCACACTCGGTCCTGGTGGATGACGACGGCATCAAAGTGGTGAAAGTCCTGTTCAATAAGGAGGAGTCGCTGGTCCTGCTCGCCATCACGGTAAGACGTGGCCTCCGCTCCCGGCCGGGTCTCCCAGGCCTTGGGCCCAGGTGATTTACTCTGGTTTCTTCCCTTGCCCTGCTGTAGGCCACCTTGAAAATCAGGAACTCCAACTTCTACTCCGTGGCCGTCACCAGCCTGTCCAGCCAGGTTCAGTACATGAACACGGTGGTTGGTACATACGGGACAACTAACGTCTCCCTCATTCCGCCCCGGAGCGAGCAACTGGTATGCCATTCCTCCAGAAGCTGGGCCCCACGCGCTTCAGAGCAGGAGAGGGTCATGGGAAGGTTGTGTGCGTCCCAGCTGCTGGCCCGTCCTCCTCTCGTTTCCTCCCCGAGGCCTCTAACCATGGAAAACACCAGCCCGCGTGCTCCATGGGGCTCCAAACAGCTCATGGGAAGATGGAATTAATTCTCCATGAACTTTTTGAAGTCCCCTCATGTAATTCTGGGAGGGAGAAAGAGAATTTCTAAGTGAAAGCGATTTGCTACAAATCAAGAAGAGGCAATATTATAATCCCATGTCTTCCGACCTGCCATGTCTTCCCTTAAAAGGGAAGACGTTTGTGGATGGTAGGCGATGGCTCCAGGGTCTTTGGAATAGATAGTAATAGCACTGCTAGGCAAGGGGTCTTCAAAAGGTTCATGAAAAAAACAAGGCACGGGTTTCCTTTTTTAGTTTTTTTTTTCCTTTTCCAACACCAAAGTCAACTCCAACTAAGTTCTTACGATGTGTCTGAACAGGATGTAGTTTGAGGATAACACAGGAGTTTGGAAGGCAAGAACAAGCGTCAAATGTATGATAATGTTACATACATATATATAATGGTGCTGTTTGGGTGGAACCGTGTGACATTGTGACGGAGAGTAGGGAGCCTGGTGGCGCGGTGGGTCCCGCGCAGGGTGACACATTTCCGAGATCACCAGCCACTCTGTGGGAGGAAGAGGAGACTTTCTACTCCCCAAAGGGTTAAAGTCTCCGAAACCCACCCGGGCAGCCCTACCTTGCCCTGTAGGGTCGCCGTGAGCCAACCCATTCGATGGCAGTGAGTTTGGCGAGTTACAAGACAGTGTATGGGGACAGTGGTCCCAGAGATAGCCGTGGTTTACCACGGCTAACGTATTTTAAGAAGGGGCGCCGGGGTCCTGGAGATGAGGCCCACAGAGGCAGAGTCTGCATCACTTTGAAGGACACAGCCCTGCCCATGCCTCCCTGGCTGAAGAAGAACCAGCCCTGTCCACACCTCGGGTTGAGCGCACGCAGTCCTGGGCGAACGCTGGAAGCTGAGGGAATGTTCTGCTCGGCGCTGCCCTCGCTGTGTGTCCAGAGCCGCTGGCCATAAACATGCTCAATGAGTGGGCTCAGGATCGGGAAGCGTTCCCTGGAAGGGTCGTAGCAGGAAATAGCTTTGCCAATCCACCCCTGAAGACAACGCACCGTCCACGGTCCAACCGAAGCAAATGCCAACCGGCCAGGAGCAGAGGCCACAGCAGCAGGTTTTTGGAATGCCTAAGGCGTGCCGCTTGTGGTCTTTCTGGAAGACCAAAGAACTGTGCCATCTGCTTGCCAAGAGAGTGTTTGAGAAAGTTAGCCAAGCATTGGCGGCAAAGTGCCCGGCAAAGCTTTGCCAGAAAGTCCGTCCCACGAATGAGCGCCTGCTCGTGCCTCTCGGCCAACAGGAGGGCTCGCTCCAGCTCTTCAGTGGGGACATCGTCACGTATCGCCTTACAGCTCTGATTTGGCTCCTTCGGGGAGTTTTGTGCGTCCAAAACTCCAAAACGTTGCCTAATTAAAAAAAAAAAAACTTCCAAGGGCACCAAGGGTTCATTTGTGAATAACCTACCAGGCTTCCTTGGCATGGTGAAAGTCCCAGGATCCTCGGTTCTTTAGGGAGAGGCTAAGCGGCTAGCATCATTGCTGACATAGTGGCCTGAACTTCGTGGAGCGTTTGGCGAAGTCAAGTTTGTATTTTTTTGTTGCCTTTTTATTTCCATTCCGTTTTTCCATGAACATTTTGAAACCCCCTCAGAGGTCAAGCCTGCTCGGCCACAGACTAACTTCGGTGTTTTCTTTCCAGGTGAATTTTACTGTGAATGCTGAGATGGGAGGACCCTATACTTATGTGTAGTAAGGACACTGACCTTTTTCTGTGCTCTTTACTGAATTTAAGAGGTTCAAGTTCACCCCAGTGGGGCAGGGCTCGGCCCTGCCTTCAGGCCAAGCCTTTGCCCTGTAAGCGCTCTAGCTCTGAATTGGGGGGCGGGGCGGGGGGGGGGTTCCTTTGGTGCATGTATCCTTGGATATGTAGCAGAGGTGCTGTGATTTCTGAGAGAGAACGTGCCACCACCACGGAGTGACCTCTGACGGGTTTAGGGCAACCCCACGGGGCAGAGCAGAGCTGTCCACCATGGGGCTCTCAGTGGCTGGATTCTTCAGAAGTAATTCAGCAGGCCTTTCTTCCAAGGCCCCTGGGGTTGGTCGGAAACTTCTTCCCTTCTCAGCAGCCAATGTGTATTACCCATTTGCAAGACTGGGATGCCAGTCCCCTAGAAACAAAGGCACCAAGCACCACCCTATGTGGGGTGTGTTGTTTTAACATGTATGGTGCGGGAGACGCCTGTGGGGCCCCAGGACTGGCAGGCAGTGGCAGTGATTAGGGGAGAGTGGGGAAGGATGGGGAGAAGGGGCACCCCAAACACCTGACTGTCCTTGTGAACCAGTCTGACTGTCTCCCTCTTTGCCTGTCGCTAGCTTCTTCTGCACATTGCCGGACATCCTGGTGCACAACATAGTGATCTTCATGCAGTACGTCCCCTCTTCTACCTCGAGGGCCTGTGGGTTTGGAGCTGGATCATCGGGCTGCGTGGGCTCGGCACCTTTACTTGGGAGATCCCAGGGTCCAGAGAGGAGGCACCGGCCCCTGTTCAGCTAGAGACCCAGTAGACCCCGCATGCCCTACACAGGGACATTCAAAGAGGACCATCACATGTGTCATCTTCTCCATGAAATGGAGTCCAGTTTAACTTTAAAGGGGTGGGGGGTGGGGGATGTGGAAACCTCAGGGACCAGGAGAACGAAAAGCTTTCTTCGGATGGGACACCTGGCATTTGGCCAAGCGTTCTCTCCTGCTCCTGGTTATTCTCTGCACAGGCGCCCACCCAGGGAGCGGGGCCCCTGGGGGTTATCCCTGGCACTCGGGCGGTCCAGTCTGCAGGTGACCATGGGAAGGTTCAGAGCAGGGTTTCTCGGCCTCAGTGCTTTTGGCAGGTTAGATTAGACAGCTCTCTGGTGAGGAGACTGCCCTGTGCTTTGTACATGCTGGTCTTTGTACATGTTACCAGTTACACTCCCCTCTCCCTGTTCCGCACCCCCTTCTTGACCATAGCGTTGGGTGGGGGCCCCCGGGTGGCTGTTGCCTGAATGGGCAGTTTCTGTTGCCTCTTTCCTTACAAACAGTCCCCTCTGGTCTCTTGTCCCCAGAACGTCTGTGACAATCTCGTACATCGGCCACACGACCCAGAGCTCCTTGGAGACGCACCACTACGTGGATTGTGGAGCCAACTCCACCGCCCACTAGGAGATGCTCTGGGGGGCAGCGCCTTTCAGGAGAGCGCACCCTGTGGTCCTAGCACCCTGGGTCCCTACCTGCTCCAGGTGGTATAAGCAGAGCAGAAGTTTGTTCTGCAACCTCCAGCAAACGCCCCGGGCACCTGGGGAGGAAGGCCTCTTCAGCATCGTTGTGTTTCTCAGCACCAGCAGACACTGCCAGAGCACCACCCCCCCCCCCCCCCCCCGATGCCCAGCAGGTGGTGGTCACTTGATAAATGTTTGAAGAAGTCGATCAGATCTTCTCAGGTGTTTGGGGGGCACTAGAATCATCCCATGATCCCTGGCTATTAAAAAACCACAAACCACAGCGCGGCTTGGAGCGAGGGCTGTTGGTGCAGCCACAGAACGGCTTTAGTGCCTCATCGGGACGGAAGCCAGGAGGGAGCATTCGAGCACACGGAAGAAGAAGCCATGGAACGCGGTCAGTCCGTGAATCTCTGGTTCCAGGATGCCTAGGGACTTCAAAAACAAGTACGGGGAGGGGGGAGGGGGACACATGGGGGGCCTTCATTGACCACCACCCCCCTCATCCATTGGCTGGAACATGGATCAGATTGGGAATTAGGTAGAATAATAAAGCTTACCTTTTCTTTGATTTGTGCCTTCTCTGATTGACTGGCTTATCAGAGGAAGCCAGCCTCCAAACTGAAGGATCAGTGGGCGCATTTGTACAGTGATAATAGATGAAGATCGTAGTAAAGCCAGGTAAGTAAGTAAGTAAGTAAGAGGGTAAAGAAAGCAGTCAGACACATTCTGGCAGCATGCTCACCTGAGCTCCTCTTGATGGGCCATGTGGAACTGGGAGGAGAGAGAGCCCCTTTCCTATCTTGGGACATCTATAGTAGGTAGCCATAACACATGCGTATTCAGTAGTTACATACGTCACTGGGCGGGTGGTAACTACAGCAAGGTCTCTGCGTTCACAGAGACCTAATACCCGCATTGGGGGAAGGCATGAGGGGGACTGGGTGACACGGCAGGAAAAGAGCAACGAGGCTTCTGCAGGGAGGTAAAAGCAACCATGTGCTCACTTTAAGGCAGCATAGCTGTTAGAGGAGACTGGGAACGATACTTAAGGCAGGATAATGTACTTGGACTTTACCTCTCGCATGCCTAAGTGGTGGCTTTCCTACCGTGGAACTAGCTTTCCAGATTCCCTCTTATAAGTTAGGGGATGTAGTCCCAGTGATGACTCCCTCTGGGTCAGTTTCCCACACTGGCTGTGTCATAGCCCCTTAGCTGGGAGCACGGAGTAGTTGCCTGCTACACAGGGCGGCGCAGGATGGGAAGGACTGAAGGGATCCTGACGAGTCCCGTCAGCTGTATCCACACAGCAGTTTCCTGCCTAAGCAATGTCCCTTTGCATCTGCTTGGGGACAACACACCGCCATTGCCCTTCCAACACCACATACTTAGTGCCCCTGGAGGTTGGAAAAGTCGACTGAGATATTACAGATTGGTGAGCTGCTTTCTTGAGCAGGGTTTTACTGAATTTATCTCTGAGGATTTGAGGTTGAATGATTTCTCCAAGACCCCACCAAATCGCTTAAGAACCCCTGGTAGCATAATTGTGTGTTGGCATAGCCATAAGGTCAGCAGTTTGGAAACACCAGCTCCTCCGGAGAAGGATGAGGCTTTCTACTCCCCTAAACAAACAGCCTCAGAAACCCACGGTCAGTTCTGCCCTACAGGGTCCCAAAGAGTCAGAATCGGTTTGTTGGCAGCGAGTGAGACCAGATGGCTTTGGTACTGAGTAAGGTTCTGGTGTGTGGTGGTGTCTACTCTCCAAGCCACCCAGGAGTTTGCTACCTCCCACGATGGCTGGGGAGCTAGTGGGAATGCTGACGGGGTCATGTTTCAGAGCTCAGCTGAAGTGTGCACCAGGAAACGAGGGGGGTTTGTATATCCACTCTCATGACCATTCCCATGGCTCGATGACTTAGATCCTCAATCTTCTAACTAAAGCTGTTTCGTGACTGGCTGGCAGTAGCCATGAATAACCCTGAAACTAAGGGTGGAAACTGGGTTTCAGGGTTACCAGCCTTTGCTGGTAGATGTGTGGATGGTGGTCCTAATGAATGCCACATACCATGATGCTGGGGCCTTACCATTTGTATCAAAGTACCGAATATACTCGTGTATTAGCTGAGTTTTTCAACACATTTTCTATGTGGTTTTTGTGGTCAAATTAGGTGCCTTGGCTGATATTTGGGTCGGCTTATACTCGAGTATATACCGTAAGCGTGCTCCATTTCTGGGGACACTGCCCTAGGTGGACACATGGAGATGTTCACATTGCTACCTTTGTCTCATTCATGTGACCATTTCCTAAGTAGCCTCTGTAACATTTTTCATGTAGACTTAAACTGGTACTTCAGTTTTTAATCTTTTTTACCCTTATTGTGTGACCCAGTAACAGTTCCTGTTTCTCAATATCATCTTAAAATTCAACTACGAAAGCCTGGTGAATAAATCAGATGGTGCCCAGCTATCAGCAAGAAGAGCATCTGGGGTGTTAAAATAAGCAGCCATCGAAGTGAAGGGTCCGCTGCACCCACATGGAATACGAACACCAGCCTGTTTGATCCAAGGACTATAAAAAACAAAATCCAAGACCAGAGGAGAGAATTGTATGAGAGCTGGAATTAAGAGCAGCACGTTTTCATAAGACTAAGGGTGACAATGAAAGCCCAACATCTACCCGCAGAGTCCCCACGGGGCCCAGGACTCTGGTGAATCCCCTCATCAATCCAATCCCTGTCTCTATAGTATACCCATCCTGGATTTCATCTTCAGGAAATCGTGCAAAGCAGACAGGAAGCAGAGGACTGTTATCCCAAGGTTATGGGACTGGTGGCTGGACTTGTTTCAGGTGCCCAGGAAATGGTGCCCAGGTGCACCCTCGATTTACGACTTGAAGTGCCCTCCGTATGGATCGAGTAAGCATGGTCCTGCCCTTATAAATGAGTATCATGGAAAAGTTTCGCCCTATTACCAACCCCTCTTGTTTGTGTAAATAAGAGTCCAGTCATGAGTTCTCGAGTTTAATCTCTACAAGTCACGGATTGCAGTTGGAAACCGGCCTATACTTGACCAATATCTTTGTCTCAATAGTGTTCTCAATGCTATACCATGGGCTAAATTGATCCTAGCAATATAATTACTTTGTGCCCCATGATTTACAATGTTTTGTCATTTAGAATGTCCTCCATTTATAACGGGGATGGTTTAGAATGGTCTCGATCATAAAGTGAACCAAGGCATAGATACTATATAAACCATACGGAGGGATTTCGGGCTCTCACTTCATTCTAGCTTCAGCCTAAGAACATTTCTCATGCTCGGTGCTCACCGTCATGAAGAGCCCACTGAAGCTCTGGGTGCTGTAGGACAGTGCTGCAGGGACTAGATGGTGCCCGGCTGTAAGAAAGGAGAGCATCTGCGATCGTCAGGGCTGCTCTTCACACAAGTGAGGCATCAACCAAGCCTACATGGAAGAAGCACTGCAGCCGGTGTGATACAAGGATTGTAAAGAATCAAAATCCAAGTTGGAAGGAAGGAATGCCATCAGAGCTTAAATTCCGAACACCTGGTTTGCAGCAGCCTCTGGGTGACAGTGGAAACCCGAAATCCATCTGGAGGGTCCCCACATGGATTAAGGCTGACCATGGTGGAGGGATGTGGGCAGTCTTGCTACAGAGAGAGAGAGAGCACTGTAAGAGTGGATTATTGGTCGATGGAGGTAGGTTAAAACCTCACACCTTATCGTTGGTTCTCCCTTTCGACCCATTCTAAGGTTGTTTCCAATTTTAATATTTTCTGCCTTCTTTTTTATTGAGGTTTTTCTCCGTTTTATCTAATCATTCTCGTTGGGTTTCGTTTCTTCCGTGTGTTGTATGGTTTTCTGCATATGAACGCTAGGACATGGACATCTGTAGAGACAGTAACTGACCAATAGCTAAGAACGTGGCAGGGGAGGGTGGAGGAATATGGAGAGAAAATAAGAAAATGCCTGGAAATTGAATTGTGGTGCTGATTGCAAAAAAATTCTTAATATGATTGAACAATTAACTTACGTGATATGGAAAGTCTATGCGAATAAAACTTTTCATGAAAACGTATTCTAGCTTTTTTCCTTTTCTGCTTTCTTTTGGATTGGGGTTTTCTGTGTTTTCCTTTGTTGCTGTTACTGTTGGGGGCGGATTTGGTTTGTGTTTTGTATGATTTTCTGTACGTGAAATCCAGGACCTGGTAAATCTAGAGACAGTAGCTAGATTCATGGTCTTCGGGTGTGGCAGGGGAGGTTGGGAAGAAATGGAGCGCTAATAACCAAGTGTGTGGTTACTGTACATGTGTAGTATAAAAATGAAGAAAATATTCTAAAATTGAGGATGACTGCGTAGCTCTTCAAGCCAGTGAATTGTGTGGTACGTGAATTATATGTCAATAAAACCTTTTTAAAAACAAATCAGCTATGCTATTCAGATGAGGACACTCAAATTGTAATAACAATGTGCTTGATCTATTTATATTTTTCTGAGTACCCCAGCGGCGCTCTGGAACGCCCTGTGTAGTTGGATGACGGAGTCTCTCGATTCGCTGGCAGATGCAGGGCTTTGCACTCATCCCCACCACAGGAGGGCGGGGGCTGGGGGTGGGGGTGGGCGTTGGCCATCTCCGGCCATTGCCATGCCCATTCTGTTTCCAGTGGATTAGAAATCAGAAAGACTGTATTCCCAGAGATGACACCTCGTTAGGCACGGCTCCTCCCCATGGCTTCCGGCCCGACAGACATGCCGGTCTTTTCCAGGGTCCCCAGCCGCCCTCACCTCCCCTCCGCCACGCTTCTACTGAGGCTGCTGATACCAAACCAGGCCACAGATTGAAGAGGTGCCACCCTCAGCGCTCTCCTTTGCCCCTCACTAGTCCACACACACCAAAACCGTGTGTTGAGTGCCAGCTCTGTGTGCAGAATGGCGTATCCTTGTGCCTTTGTCCAGAGTCATAGCTAGAAGTTTGGAGCAGACTTGTCACACACCTTTCCTTCTCACCAGGACCTCTGGAGACCCTCTCCCACTGATCCTGAAGCTGCTCATGGCCGGCCGGCCAGTTGATTGTGATTCACGGTGACCCCCAAGCATCCAGAGTAGACAGTCTCCACAGGATCTTCACGGCTGTGCTCTTGTGGCGGCAGATGACCATCAGGCCTGAATTCTGGACACCCCCGTGGGTTCGAGCTGCCAGTCTTTCAACTGTGAGTCAAGAGCTCACCCACTGACCCCTAACGAGACCCCTCAGAACCCCCTTTGGGTCCTCTGTGCTTTTAAGAAGCCACTTTCTCCAGTTCTCCACCTGTTGGCAACACTCCTGCGAATTGTTCCTTCTGTTCCTTTATGCATCTAGAAGACAGCAGTCAGTTCACAACTTGTTCTGTGATTCCCTACAGGAGCCAGGGGCCTTTAGAGCAGCGGTTCTCAACCTGTGGGTCACAACCCCTTTGGGGGTCAATGACCCTTTCACAGGGGTTGCCCGATTCATAACAATAGCAAAATTACAGTTTTGAAGTAGCAACAAAAATAATTTTGTGGTTTGTTTTTTTTTTAATAATTTTATCGGGGGATCTTATCACAATCCACCCAATTGTATCAAGTACACCTCAGACTTTTGCAAGAGGTGTCCTACTTGTACCAGGATGGCAACCCACTTCTTGGGGTACCTAGTCAAACCTGGCAATAACAACCACGCCTGCTCTGGAATCCGGGAGTGCACGGGGAAGAGGGGGGAGCTCCAGGGGAGGCCCAAATCTGCCTACATCTGTGGTCACATCAAAATGCCATCCCCCTTCTGTTCACTCACCTTGCCACACCACTTACTTTCCTGGCCCGGAGAAGAAATCAGAATAATTTTTCTTCCCATGATCGCCCATGCCAGAGGAAGGTCAAGCCTCTTCCATCAGATGAGCTCCTGCTCCAGCAGGACTGTGGGCGGGTCTGATTTACCAATGACAAGGCTGGTGCCTCTTCTGAAAGCTTTAGGCTGAGAGTCAGGAGTCTGAACTCCAGCTAAGAGTCCCTCTAAAGCAGTGGTTCTCCACCTTCCTAATGCCGAGACCCTTTCAGACAGTTCCTCATGGGGTGGTGACCCCCCCACTCCCCGGGGGGAATCCAGTGAGTCTGGAAGGTCAGGTGAGCCCTTTTCCTTTGATGGACAGGGTGGACCACACTCAGGGACTCCCTGTCCTCACCTGCGTCCGCCTGGCTCTCAGCCGCTCTCGAGGGCGGGAAGGGGTTGTTTAAAAGGATGAGATCCCTGTTTAATGACATGATGTTGGCGATGTGTTTTCACTATTCCCTCTCAGCTTGTTACGAACTCACTCTCGGCCATGGGGTGGATTCCAGCTCACAGCAACCCTGTCAGACAGGGCCGAGCCTGCCCCCACCCCCTCCACCCCCGGGGCTTTCCGAGACTGTTGGCGTAGAACGCCTGAGCTGGGTCCTGTGAAATACACTTTTCATTCAGCAAACAAACCCTCTTCATCGCTGTAGAGAATGATGCCACGGTCACTGAATAACGGGGGGGAATTGTTTGAATGAAAACCTAACCCACTGAAAACCCAATGAAACATTTTTTTAATCTTAGTAAGCTGGGTATACACATGTAAAAGAGTTGCCCTATTTGATTTTATTGTTTCTTTAATAGGGACGCCATCAACCTTCACCTAGAGACAGGAGAGGATGGGGATGAAACAAGGGCCGCAGGGCGGTGGCTCTCTGGTGGCTCTCTGGTCGTCAGCAGTGGCCAGGCATCCCTGGCCATTTATTTTATGAACTGCTGCTGCCGCGGGCGATTCGCACTGGTTTTGCCTCTCTGGCCACACCACGCCCACCACACCCCTCCAGGGGAGAAGGGTGGGAGGAGCCCCCAAGGAGGAGGCAGAAACGGTGCCTATTCATAAGCCTAGTATCCAGAGAAGTCCACACAAGCTACTGGGAAGCCTACACCCACCGCCTCTCTCCTTGACTGAAAGGATTTACATCCATTGCCGTGGCGTGGCATTGATTCCACTGGGACTCACAGTGACCCCTAAGACAGAGCAGAACTGCCCCCTGGGGTGCCCGAGGCTGCCAGCTATAAGGAAGCAGACTGATGCCTTTTTCTTTCCTGCAGAGCAGCCAGAGCTCCAACTATGGACCTTCCAGAGAGCGGCCAAACCCTTAGCCACTCCGCTCCCCACCGGGGCTCTTGTAGGAAGACAGTCTTGTAGGAAGACATAAACAGATGACCAAGCTGGCAGGATGCTGTGCACTTACCCAGGGCCCTGCCTCCTCCCCTCCGCCCTGCCATCCCTTGGGGGCCTGGGGCTTGCTCCTATCCAGCACTACAAATCTGCTTACACCGTGTCCTCCCCTCAGCTCAGAGCCCAGAGTACCGTCTCCTGTGTGCTCATCGACAAGACCGGTGCTCCCAAAGTGGTGCTCAGTGTTTGCCGCGAGAACAAGGCCGCCGTCTCGCGCACGCCTCCCTTCCCAAACCCGGGTCTCCAGTCTCAGCGCACGGCCCGGCCCCGGCAGCGCCAAGGTTGACGAAAAGAGACATGTTTGTGTTTTGTGTGGCATCCCTCACACAGGCAGTAACGGCTGCCGGTGCCCTCCTGGCTGAAAGGTGGACAGAAGGCACTTCCGAGGATGAACTGAAGCGGTCAGGGGCTGGCGGGTGTGAAAGAACAGAACATGGCACAAGAGGTACTTTCCAATAACTTTTTTTTTGTTTTTAATATCAATTGATTTTTTTTTTAAAAAGACAGAGGTGTTTGACACAAATAGCACCATTGTGTAAGGACACACACAGTTCCTGCGCCTGGCACCAGATGTTGGTCATCGTGCCCGGGCAGAGGAGGGGCAGTCACTCAGGGGCATTTGACTCACACCAGTTAGTTTCCGGCCTCGGCCTTGACCCAAAGGTTTTTCCCAGGAAGACAATAAATAAATAGAACGCCAAGATTTTATTTTGCAGTCTGCCCAGTTCAGGTCTCTCAGGAAGAGAGGGGGATGAAAAAGTCCACAATGTGAGAGGTGGGGATGAATGGCCATCAGGTCAGGTCAGCCGTCCCATGCAGAGTCCTAGAGTGACCAGGGTGGAAAGTACGCGGGGTCTTGTTTAGAACGGGCTGTGTTGCTTCTGGCTTGGGGTTTGTTTGTTCTGTTGGTTTGTTTACAAGAAGCAGACAGGCCCGATGTCCACACCAAATTCCTGATCCGGCCCCCCTATGTCCATGGGTGCGATGTCAATGATGGGGAGGCGAGAGGTCTTCTGGGTCCGGTACTCGATGATGGTCTTGCCCCACTTACCGGTGTGTTTCTAGGGAGGGAAGAGGAGAGGAGGGGCTGTGTAGCAGAAGCCTTGAAACCCAGTGCCCACCTCCCAGGAGCTCCCAGATGGAGCAACCCGACCGGCTTCCTCAGCCCCGAGGTGAGAGGGCTCCTTCCACCTCGCTTGGCTTCCAGAGCCTTCTCTGGGCCAGTCCCTGCCCCAGCAACAGTGGCTGTCTTGCTCCTTCCCCACTGGATGTCTTTATCTTGCATCTGCCAGGAAGACTCCCACAAGAGTCACTAGACGCCCCAGGGAGGGTCTGGATTCTTCTGAGCCAAGCAGTGGAGAAACAGAGCCAGGAGGGGCCTCTCTCTCCTGCACGGGACTCCCTGCTTGTCTTCTGTACCATAAACCCTCTCAAACTGGTGCCTCCGACTCGCCTTTCATCTCAGGGCTGCTACACTTGATGCAGACCACTCCCAGCCCTGCTCCAGCCGGAGCCTCACACCCCCCCCACCCCACCCCTCCGCCTCTCGGCCCCTGCCCCGGGGCTCTACCAGTGCCACTCACCGTGCAGCCATCCTTCAGGGCACTGTACGTGAACCTGCTGTTACCCTCAGCCCGAATCTCCACGTCGTTTGAGCCCTGGATAAGTAAGGCCTTCTTGAGGTTGCCGGCGGCTTCGTCCAGGTAGGCGATGCTGTTCTTGCAGTGGTAGGTGATGTTCTGGGCGCCCTCCGTGGAGAGCAGGCGCAGGAAGGTCATCTGGATGCTGGCAGTGTTGGGGGCCAGGTTGTCATCTCCATAGCTGAACTGTGAGGGCAGAGGGGGCCGGGGGCGAGGTCAGTGCGGGGAAGGGCTCTGGAGGCCCATCAGTCATCCAGAGCTTGGAGGAACGGAAGTGGGTGCTGGAGAAGGCAGTAGCTGGAAGGACAGCTTGGCTTCCGGGGAGCGGGAGCCCCAGGGAGCCTCTCTGACGCACGTGCACGCACATGACTCCTCTCTCCCCTTCCTCTTTTTGACCCGATGGCAGTGGTTACACGGTTCACACAAGGTGGGACATTCCAGCACCTTCCCTGGGCATGCAGGTCAGTGTCTTCCTCGCTCTGTCCAGCCCTCACTCGCCAGCTGTCCCCAGTCTCCGTCTCGTCGCTTCTTGGTGAGCCCTGACTCACACCCCCTGGGGGCCACAGGAGGATGTGCTCCACCCTCCCAGGGAGACAGAGGGTAAGGTCTGGGGGAGCCCGAGGAACTCACGTGGAAGCCGCCATTGATGGTTTCCCCAAACCAAACGTGCTTCTTCTCCTTGCCCTTGCTGCTCCACCAGTTCTTCTTGGGGACGTTGGCCGGGTTGGGGTAGACGCAGGTCTCGCCGGTCTCCATGTTGCAGAAGACCTTCATGGCGTCCAAGGTGCAGCCCTGGTTGGGGTCAATCCAGTAGTCTCCTGCAGTGGGGAGAGGCATTTGCCCTCAGGGCTCAGGGGCACAGTCACGTTCAGGCCTGACTGGCAGGGAGAGTTCTTCAGCGACAGCCTTGGAAAAAAGCCAGGTGGCGTCCTCAAGGACTGGAGTGGGGTCGGATGGAGCGCAGTGGGACAGAGACCCTGGAAGGGAAGGTACCCAGCCCAGCCTAGCAGATGGACTCTCCTAGAGCCCTTTCCCCTGCCCTGTGCCCACAGCAGGACAGGGCCCCAGGCTGCTGTATCCACTAGAAAACGGGGAGCAGGACCTTCCGCTCTGGCTGTGGCCTGAATGAAGAGGCCCAGGGCCAGGGAGCTGGGTCCCCGCATCCTGGGCAGGGTCCCTGGGCTCACCGCTCTTCCACTCAGGGTGGCAGAGTTTCAGGTCACGGCAGGTGCGCGCGGGGTTCTTGCGAGAGCCCTCGGGGCTGCGGATGTTCTCGATCTGGTTGTTGAGGGACTTGAGCGTGGCATCCACCTCGACGTCGTGCTGCCTCAGCGATCCAGCTGCCTGGTCAGCCCGCATGTACTGCATCGGGTCAGGGCCCTTCTCTCTCTGGCCGAGGCCAGCAAAGGCGGACATGTCGATGCCGGGGCCGGGGGGACCTGGAGGGCCGGGGGGGCCAGGATTGCCAGGAGGACCCTGTAGTAGGAAAGAGAGAGGTCACCCAAGAAGAGTGGGAGGGGGCTTCCTTTGTCATCCCACCTGCTTGAGTGCTCTCAACACAAAAACAAACTTCCACCCAGTCTGTGCCAACTCACAGCGACCCTACGGGACAGGGCAGAACTGTCCCTGTGGGTTGCTGAGGCTGGAACTATTCACAGGCACAGAAAGCCCCGGCTTTCTCCTGTGGAACGGCTGGTGGTTTCGAACTGCCGACCTTGAGGATCGCAGCTGAATGCATAACCACTCCACCACCAGAATCCTCTAGCTGTCTAGTTCTTCCCAGCCCCGAGATCAAGAGGCAGGAGGACTCAGAGCAGCAGGCACCGATGTCCTGTGTCCCAACACCCAGCCACGAGCCCTCCTGTGCTCCCAGGAGACCTCCCGGTGAAGAAGGCCGTCGCCATTAGCTGCAGGCTGATGTCCCCAAGAGCTCATGCCTCGCTGACCCTGGGAGCTGGACCAGGACACTTACAGCAGGGCCAGTTTCTCCCGAACGTCCACGGGGGCCTGGGGGTCCGATGGGGCCAGGGATTCCATTAGAGCCATCTTTGCCAGAGGGGCCAACAGGGCCGGGGGGACCCTGCAGGTGGTGAGAAAAGAGTGGTCACCAAGGGGTCTGTTGGGAGGGGCTAGGGCTGGGCAGGCGGTGGCTGTCCTGCAGCACTCGTCACTGCTCCCATCTTCCTCTTTCTCAGTCACAGAACCCCAAATGGGTCTCTGTTCGGCCAAGAACCAAGAGGGCAGTTTTCTGCCTCTGTTACCCTTCTTGGCGACTCTAGAATTCGACGATCGGGGCTTGTGTGACAGCAGAGAGCTGCCCTCCAGCTCATCTATGGGCACTGTGACCCCAGGCCTCCCCTGGCCCTAGTCACGCTGAGCCATCCTTCCCCAGCTGCTGAATGAGGACACAGGACCATGTCCCTGCCCATCCGCACACCCGACCCCGGCCCTCCAGGGAAGGGTGGAGTCCATCGTACTCACTCTAGGGCCAGAAGGACCAGCAGGACCGGAAGCACCTTGGTCTCCAGAAGGACCCTGTGCAGAAGGAAGAGGTCAAGGTCAGAGGTTGGCACCGAGAGGAGCTCCTCCCCCGACAGTAGAGCCATCCTGAATGACTCTCTCTCTCATCGATGTTCTGCTCTTGGAAGAGCAGGTACGTGCCCTGTCCCCCGTTCCCTCCTTCCAACCCTGAAGGCCGTCTAGAAGCTTCTCAGGACAATCTTGGTCTTTGCAGCAGGGGAATGCGAGCAGTGGGGGCCTCAGCGGGGTGGGTGGCAGCAGCACTTACAGGAGGGCCGGGCAGCCCCTGCAGACCAGTGAAGCCACGATGCCCCTTCAGTCCCCTCTCGCCAGCCTCTCCAGTTTCTCCTTTGTCCCCTCGGGGGCCTTGTGGGCCCTGGGAACCAGACAGACAGCGGGGGTGGGGTCAGGGCAGGGCCAGAGCCAAGGCTGAGGCAGGAACGGAGCCCTGCCCCTTCCCCCCAACCCCCGCCTTCCACACCTGCCTCATGAGAGGCTCAAACCAGCCCTGGGCGCTCCCCCACTCACGGCTATTCCTCGGGCTCCTGCTGGCCCAGCAGGTCCCATGGGGCCTTGTGCACCCTGTGAGGAGAGGAGAGGAGAGGGAGAGGGGCAGCGTCAGCCGGCAGCCAGGCCGGCACAGCGCCCTCTGCATAATCCTGGGCTGTGGGCTCAGCCACCGCCTTTACCCCCAGCTTCCGTTGGAGGGAAGGAGGGAGGGAGGCTACTCACAGCTTCTCCTCGGTCTCCCTGCTTGCCAGTTGGGCCGGAGGGGCCAGGAGAGCCAGGGGGTCCAGGAGCTCCTGGAGCACCGAGGGGACCAGTCTCACCACGGTCACCCTGTCAGGAGAGAGGCCTTCGGCTCAGAGAGGAATGTTCCAGAAGAAGCAAGGAGGGGCTGCAACACGGCCCTGACCTCCCCGCCCCACCAAAGAGGGAGAGGCTCAGATGCCCACCTTCACACCGGCTGCTCCGTCTCTGCCAGGGGGGCCGTCAGCACCAGGGCTTCCCTGGCCAAGGGAAAGAAGAATGCATTAGAGCTGCGGCCTTTGGAGCTCCTCAGCCCAGTCCCCAAAGCTCCCTTCCCACCCCGCCTCCCTGTCTGTGCTCCACTTCTGCCCTCTCCCATCGCCACTCTCCCAGCACCCGGGCGCCAGCCACTGCTCACCTCGCGTCCAGGCTCACCAGAAGGACCACTCAGGCCGGGAGGGCCCACCGGGCCAGGGGGACCTCGGTCACCAGAGGAGCCGGGAGCTCCCTGCTTACCAGGCTCACCCTGGGGAGACAGAGGCAGAGACGGAAGCTGAGTACCGCTCTGGGTGTCCCTGCCCCCGGGCCCTTCCCCGCAGTCCGAGGCCACCACACCAAGGGCACCGAGGGAAGAGGGGCTCGGGCGGGGCCCTCACTCACCGACGGGCCGGGCAGGCCGGGGAATCCTCTCTCACCACGCTGTCCAGGCAGACCCACGATGCCCCTCTGCCCAGCAAGACCTTGGGGGCCTGGAGGGCCGTCAGGACCCTGTGGAAGGGGGAGGTGTGAGGTGAGGATGGACCCAGAGCTTCCTACCTGCCTTGCCCAGCCTGGCCAGGACTCCTGCAGGCCTGCCTCCCGGACTACGGACAGACGTTCCCTAGGAGCCCGGCCCCAGCGGCTCCCAGTCTCTCCCGCTTTGCCCCCAGGGGCGGGGGTGAGGAGCAGTGGGGGGGGGGGGCACTCACGGAAGGCCCATCATCTCCAGGCTCCCCTTTTTCGCCAGGGGCTCCAGCAGGACCTTGGAGGCCAGTGTCACCAGCACGGCCAGGGGGGCCGCTGTCTCCTCGTGCTCCTTTGGGGCCATCTTTGCCAGAGGGGCCAGGGGGCCCAGGGGGGCCGGGGTTACCCTACGGGAGGGAGTAAGTACAGGCAGTGAGAGGCATCCACTGAAGCTGCCTGATGCCAAAGCCACAGGGGCCCCAGGGGCAGGGGGTGCCCTCCCGGGGGGTCTTCCCACGACAAGGCCCTCTCCCCATCAGTGCTCGGCCACAGCCGGCTTCTCCACCCACCCCCGTGGGCATCCTTCCTGCCCCCTCCCCTCAAGCCCTCTAGTTCTCATGGGGCATCCCTAGCCCCCTCCCTCCAGCCTGAGGCCCAGTTCGTACAGCCCCTGCCAGAAGCTCAGGTCCAAACACCACTGTCTCTCCTGACTCCCCTGCAAGCTCCCCTCGAGCAGGAGCCTCCACTGTGCGTCAGGTGCCCACAATTGTAGCCAGCACCCCCTTCCTGTGCGCAGAGGCTGGAGGGCCAAGCCCAGGCCGGCAGGGAGGGCTGCCCAGGTGCAAGCACAGGGCCATACCCCCCCGCTCCAGCTATCTACCAGGCGGTGCCCCGTCAATGGGCTGCCCCTCCCGGAGTGGGAGGGAAGCAGCCTGGAGTCTCTGGAGCCCCAGGGGTGGTTGGGCCTCCATGCCAGAAGGCGGGTGGGAGAAAGCAGATGGGCACTTACATTGGAGCCTGGGGGTCCGACGCGGCCAGCAGCTCCGGGGAATCCAGTGGCTCCCTGGGAGAGAAGAGGAGAGCCCCTGGATGTCTCAAGCCCCCCGAGGGGTGTGGTGTGTGTGTGTGTGTGTGTGTGTGTGTGTGTGTGTGTGTACGCAAGAAACAAGTGTGGGTGGCTCAGAGGTGGGGGCGGGGGTCTGGGAGGGAGAAAGGGCCGGGCCGTACCCTGCCTCTGGAACTGAACCAGGGCTGCTTCGGGGACCTGCAGGGCAGAGCCTAGGACAGGGGACCGGAACCCTGCTTCCCAGCAGAGATGCCCCTGGTGGCGGCTGTGAGAAGGACAGCTGAGTGGTGGGCATGGGCAGAGGTGGTCCCTGCCCCACAGTGCCCTCCCCACCAGGTGAGGGTAGGAGGGATGCCTCACTCACCGGAGGGCCTTGTGCACCTCGGGCTCCTTTGGGGCCAGTCACTCCGGTAGGACCCTGGAAGAGAGAGGGAGGCCGTGAGCGCTGATGGATGCAGCCCCCCGGAGTCCCAACAGCAGGCTCCTGGGGGTGAGGGCCCTCCAGGGCCAGCAGCGGGTTCGTGATCTTGAGCTGCCACCTTGCCTCCCTGGTTCAATCCTGTGTCCTGCATGTCAGCCGGACTCTACGCCCGCTTTCAGCTCCCTCCAGCCCCCCAGCCCCCACACCCAGGACCAGGAAAGCTCCCTCCGCCGACCACGGGCCCAGACAGCGCCACCGAAGCTTTACCCTCAGAGCACAAGTCCCTGCTTGCAGCAGCCTCTCTCCCCTGGAACGGGGTAGGCTCAGGCCAGAACTCTAACCCCACAGGAAGGATCTCCCAGGGTCCTCGCTGATCTCAGCCCACCTGGGTCTACCCATCACGCACCCTGTGGGACCAGCTCTCGGGGAGTCCCGTGACCCACCTGAGGCCCGGGAGCTCCTGAGGGGCCCTGAGCACCTGGGGAACCAGCGTCACCTTTCTGGCCGGCCTCTCCTTGCTCGCCCTTGATACCAGGCTGACCATCAGCACCCTGGAAGAGACGAGGGAGGAGGAAGCAGATGGGTGGGGGGTCAGGGAGAATGCAAGTGAGTGAGTGTGAGTGCGCACATGCTGGTTCACCAAGGCCCCGGGAGCTGGCCTAAGGTTGGACTGCTGCATTGGGTGGAGGTGAGAGTCCAGTCCCTCCTTCTTCATGTTTTACCCCGGCCCTTACCCACCCCCAGGCTGGAAGCTGCATGTGGAGAGAGCAGGGTGGACAGTGATACTCACAGGAGGCCCTGCAAATCCAGCGGGCCCGGGGGGGCCAGCCTGTCCACGTTCACCCTGTGAAAGAAGAGGGACCAGGGAGAGGTCAGGCCCCCTGTGCCTGCATGGGAGTCCAGAGGAGAGCCTGGCCACAGCCCCCAGAGAGAGGGCATCAGCTTGGCCTTCAGGAGGGGCACGGCTGATGAACAAGGGTCACAGAGGCTTCTCGCTCAGATCATCTGGTGACTGGAGACCCTCCATCCATCATGGAGGTTGACGTCCCTCCTCCTCCCTCGCACCCCAGACCCTGGTGGGAGGGAGCCAGTGCCCACAGCCGGCAAGCCCAGGCTGAGAAAAGAGCAGGCAGGCAAGTCAGGGGTAGGCAGGAATCTCACCGGGGCACCTCGAGCTCCAGCCGTCCCCGCCGGGCCAGGAGGTCCAACTTCCCCCTATAGAGCGGGCAAGAACCACGAGGAAAAGTGAGGTGGGCGCAGAGCAGGGCCCTCGCCGAGCAAGGGGTCCTGGGGAGTCCACAGCAATTGGAGGGGCCCAGTCCCCACCAAAGCCTGCTTTCTCAGGCCAGGGCCTTTGCAAACATACTTGCACCCACAGGCCCACCACCTCATGGCCAGCACCCAGCCCAGAGATGCCTGCAGCTCCACCTTCCACAGGGACCCTCCACCTGGGTCCTCACAGCCCCCACGGGGAGAATGGTGAGTAAGGGAGAGGAAGAGCCCTGTATGGCAGCAGGAGGGGTGAGGCAGACAGAGGGGACGGCAGGGTGATGATAACTCACCTTCTCACCATTGGCACCAGCAGGGCCAGGGGGGCCAATAGGACCTGTAAGGCCCTGGGAAGAGAGAAGGGGGAGGTGAGAGAAGGGGGAGGTGAGGGAAGGACTAGCCACAGCAGGGCTTCTGGGACGCCACCAGGGAATGGGCCTTGGTGCAGGCACCCTCCCCTGGTCTCTAGTACCCCACCCTCACTCTCCCTCAGGGCCCCAGGGTCCCCAGTCACCTGCCCAGCTCCCACCTTCCCCCATCCCAACGTGCCCGTATTCAGGAAACACTTACTCGGCCACCGTCTTTCCCAGGGGCTCCCTCGGGACCTTTCTCACCAACATCACCCTGGGGGACAGAGAAAACAGGTGGCTCAGCCCTGCCCCACCCCTACCCAGGAGGGATTCCAGTGGCTGTCTCCTCACAGGGACTAACACAGGGTAACAGAGGGAGGTAAGGGTGCCGAGGGGTTGTTGTCCCTTGAGAGAAACAGAGCTGGGGGGGAGTCCCCACATTCCTCCAGAAGCAGTAAAGGGAGCCTCACCCCCAGGTGCTACAAGGGGAACAGGTGTGCAGGGCAGGAATGTGGCCGTCGGGTCACAGCTTGGCTAAGCAGTTACTCCAGGTACTTACCCTGTCTCCCTTAGGCCCAGAGATACCAGCTGCTCCTCTCTCGCCAGGCATTCCCTGCAGACCTGGAGGGCCCTGGGCCCCGGGGGGTCCAGCTGGTCCAGAAGCACCCTGGAGGGGACATAGAGAGGGACCTGTGGTGGGCAGCACCTCCCCAGAGGCCCCAGGGAGGAAGCAGGGAACCAGCTCCCCAAAGTCCTCCCTACCATCTTCTTTGACAAACTCTTCCTTGTCCCCACCTTCCAGCTCCAGTCTGTCTATCTTCACTCCCCAGCCCCCCGGGGCTGCCCCAGGACCCCCCCGCCAGCAGGCCCCGATGGACTCACTTTGGGACCGTCTGTGCCAGGAGTGCCAGGGAGGCCACGGGAGCCCTGGAGGCCCTGGGCCCCTGGAGAGCCTCGTTCTCCTGGGAAGCCCCGCTCACCCTGTGGCAGAGGAAAGGGCAGTCAGGCAAGATCAGGGCAGGGAGGTCAGGCCCTGGAGTGGGAGGAGGGGGCCAGGAGGGGCCAGGGGAGGCAAAGCACTGGGAAAGGCAGGCAGAACACTCACTCTGGGGCCCACAAGGCCAGGCGCACCAGCTTCACCGGGAACACCCTGGAAACAAAGGAGGTGGAAAATGAGAGAGAAAAGGCTGAGCCTCCCTCTGTGCTGAGCTCACCCAGGGCCCTCTGAGGGGCTGGGTGGCACCTGAGACACCCCAGGCCTCCTGTCTCCCAGGCAGAAGAAACTTTCCCATCTGAGCAGCCCACACTCACCTGGTCACCTGCTTTTCCACCTTCACCTGGGGGACCGGGAGGGCCAGGAAGTCCCTACAAGCCAAAATTACCTGTGTTAGCAGAGGAGTGGGTGGTGGGTGTGCTGCCCCACCCTGCAGGGAGGACAGCCCAAAGATTGCAGGGGGGAGGGAGGTGCAGGGGGGAAGGAGCTCAGTAATGAAGGCCAAGGTTCCAGACCAGGCCCAAGAGTGAGAAACCAGGCCCTGTGCCCCCGTCCCCCCCCCCCCACCCAACCCCAGAGCCTGCCGCTGCCCCACAGCGACCTGGGCCTGGCAGGTCAGTCAACCACGCACCTGGAACCCAGATGGTCCAGGAGCCCCCTGCTCGCCCCGTTCTCCAGCAGGTCCCTGCAGAGGGAAAAGGAGAAGTGAGGGAGGCCAGCGCTCTGGGAAACCCAGAAGCCCACTCCCCACACTGCCCACCAAAAGGAGTGCAGGTCTGTGTGCCCACCCTCATTTCCTCTGACAGGCAGGCTGGGGTGGACCCTGCCTGGAGCCCCGCCTTCCACTCGAAGTAGGGCTAGTGCCCTGAATCTGCCCCAGATCCATGTCTGTCGGCACCATTACTGGGGGGCTCTCACCTCCACCTCTGCCCCATCCACAGGGCGACAGGACCACCTCCCACCTCCACTCCACCCCACCCACCCATCCACAGGCCAGCTGGAAAGGCTGGGCAGGGACTTACAGCGGGGCCGGGGGGGCCTGCAGCACCTGTTTCACCGTCTTTACCAGGAAGACCCTGTGGAGGGGGGCGGGGGGCGACAAAAGACATACTTGTCATTAGCGCTAGGCAGGTGAACTTCTTGGCCCAGGGCTTCCACCCACTCCCCGCTTCTCTCCTGGCCCTGCTCCCTCCTGTCTCTCTCCCCCAGCTTCGTGGGCTCTGGCTCACAGGCAGTAGGCCCTCAGGAGCCCTGCCAGCACAGGGCTTAGCCTGAGGGACCCACAGTGAGGAGAGCCCCGGTCACAGCAAGGCAGCCCATCTTCAACGGGAGGGACACTTACTCTCAGACCGGGTGCTCCAGGCAGTCCCTTCTCACCACCTTTGCCAGGCTCACCCTGGAGAAAAGAGAGGGCGGGGCCGTGAGAGGGGTGCGGGCCTCAGGGCCGCTTCCTGGAGGACAGCTCAGCCTCGAGCGGACAGCCAGGGGCCACCCTGAATAGGCGGCCGTGTCCATGATGGCCGGAGGCTCTCAGTCACTCTGGCAGGACACAGAGGCCAGCGCTGCCCACGACAACTCTGTTTGCAGCCAAGTGAGCAGGGGCTGGGCAGCACCGGCGGGGGTAGGGGGGCATGGAAGGGTGGGGCATTACGTACATTGGCACCTTTGGGGCCAGGGAAACCCATGACACCAGGCTGCCCACGAGCCCCCTGAGGACCGGGAGGACCAGGACGACCGTCTTCACCAGGGGCACCCTGAAAGAGAGGACAGCCACTGGTCATGCTCCTCCATCCACTGGGTGCGGAGTGCCCATGGCACCCTAGGCAGGGAACCGGGCACCAGCCTTCCCCATGCAGCCCACAGCCCACACGGGGATAGACTGTGTACTTGGCCTCTCCCCAAGGAAACAGCCAAGTATGTGGAGGAGGGGGCGTTTTCAGAGCCCACATCTGGCCCCAGGACTTAGCATCTAGCCCCCACCCCAATCCCCCCACCCAAACTCTTCTCTCGCTGCCTCCCCAGGGCTGCTTCCCTGAGAACCCCAGCATGGCAACTCACCGAGGGGCCAACTTTGCCTTGAGGACCGGCATCACCAGGGCGACCAGTGAGGCCCTTCATTCAGGAAGGAGAGAAAAGAGAGTGGGTGTCAGAGGTGAGCCCCTCCCCGCCCCCCAGGCCTCCCCACCCTGACAGCACCGGGCTGGAGGGAGCGGGCAGGAAAAGGCTACTCAGGGTCGCATGCTGCTCACCCGGGCTCCAGGAAGGCCAGGTTCTCCGGGTCGACCATTTTCCCCGTTGGGTCCCTTGGGACCTGCCAGGCCAGCGGGCCCTCGCTCTCCAGGGGCCCCCTAAACAAGGGGGGGGCAAGGGAGTCAGCAGGAGGCCACTCAACCAGGGAGGAAGGAGGGACCCCAGCCCCTCGGCCCCCACTCACTTTGGGACCTGCTAGACCATCTTGACCTGGGAAACCACGGTTGCCAGGGGCACCCTAGGAAGAGAAGGGAGGAAGAGGAGGGAGTAGGTTACGATGAACGCCAATCCATCCCTGGCTGGAGAGAGCAGTCAGGCCCACCAGCCTGCTGTCCCCAGTCTCTGTGAAGCAGCTGCCACCCTCTAACCCAGTCCTGGCTGGAGAGAGCAGTCAGGCCCACCAGCCTGACTACAAGATGCTGGGACTCACTCCCCAGGCCTGTCCAACTCTTTCATCTGCCTCGCTGAGAGAAGAAAGCACTCCAAGAACGGCAGGAGCCACGGCCAGGCGGCCAAGAAGGAGGGAAGGAGTTTGATATCCAGGAGCTCAGGAGACCAGAGTCTTCATCTTCCTCTTGAGATCACGGCCCAGAGCCATGGGGGCGGCGGCGGTGGAGGGGGTTCCTGGTCTACTTACTCGTTCTCCGGGGGGACCAATGGGCCCAGCACCACCAGGCTCTCCACGGGCACCTCTCTTGCCTTCTTCACCAGCTGGGCCTGGGGCTCCCTGGGGGCCGGCAGGACCCTGAGGACCAACACAAAAGCGGACAAGGGGTGAGTCTTCAGCTGTGCTGGGGGCAAGCACTGGTGCTTCGTTCAGGGCTGGGGACCTCTGGGAGGAGAGACCTCCGCAGTGGGTCAGCCCAGGGCTGCAGAGACCCAGCGGGAAGAGGCAGGAGGTGGAGTTCGAGCTGTCCACATCGGCTCAACCAAAGCAGGGTGCAGAAAGTGCACCAGGCCCTCACAGGCCTGAGCACTCTCCTCCAGCCACCCCCAAGAAGCCCTGGTTGGGGGGTGGGCTGTGGAAGGGTCTCTGCGCCCCAACCCAACTAGCTACTGGGGAGGAAATAGCAGATAGCAAACACTTACGGTCTCTCCTTTGGGGCCTTGTTCACCTTTGAAGCCCGCGATACCAGGCTCTCCCTGAACGAGAGAGGCACAGCGTCTCATCACACAGGGGTCCCCGCAGGGCTTGCCCCTCCTCCACACGCCCTGCCTGCATAGGCCCCACCCCTGCAGGGATCCCATAGGACCGTGGTGTGAGACCAGCTCAGGAGCCCACGGAAGGAGGGCGGGTGGGCTCTGGGCCTGTCCCGGGACACCAGTGGAACTTGGGCTTCACCTCGGACTCTTACCGTCTGGCCTTTTGGGCCTAGAGGACCGGTGGCACCTTGAGGGCCAGGAGGACCACGGGGCCCAGGGAAGCCAGGAGCACCAGCAATCCCAGGGGCACCCTGTCAGTGGCAGGAGCAGAGAGAGGAGGGTCAGGAGAGAGGGGAAAGGGAAGATTGGCCCTTCCCACCTCACCCCGGAGCGAGGAGGTCCAAGGGCGACACTCACAGCCGATCCTTTAGCGCCAGGAATTCCGTCAGTTCCAGGGTTACCCTGACAAAGGGGACAGAGCCATTACAAAACAGGCATCATGAGGGACCACCCCCACCTCCAGCCCTCAGAGGGCCCCAGGACCATCTCTGGGACGCTGTTTCCAGATGTTTCCCAGCAAGGCCTGGGGATGGAGCGAGCTGTGTCTTGGCAGACAATGGGGATGGGAGTCGGGAGGAGTGGGGGTTTGGAGATGGGGCTCCGGGTCCCTTATGGTGAAGCATGGCCCCCCGAGTTCCAAGGCCAGGGGCCCACAGACCCCATGATCTTTCAGCCAAAAGGAAACTGTACTTACAGAGGCACCGGCAGGCCCGGGGGAGCCAGGAGTACCAGATTCACCGCGGGGACCCTGAGCGCCTTCAGGGCCACGAGCACCAGTAGGGCCAGCTTCACCCTGGGGGTGCACAGGGAGAGGGACACTGAGGGATGGGGCAGAGTCTGCACACCTAGAGGCTTGGCAGTGCTGGAGAGCTAGCTGCACACCCCAGACACACAGCGCCCTGCGCTGGTGGGTTACAGGGCACACACGCTGAGTACACGTGTGCACGCGCAACTCACAAAGAGGCCACGCAGCTGCGTTTGTCCCCACCTGGCCGGCCACTTAGTGGACGGCCCGCTACACCTGCCTTCTCTGTCCCTCATGCCATGCCACCCTGCAAGCAGGCTTGGGTATTGGCACAGGGGTGGGCTCTCCGGCCCGTGGGCAGGTGGTGGGTGCTGTCAGCCAGGCCACAGCCAACGGGGTGGGACACCCATCGTGCACGCAGCTTAGAAGGACAGACCCCTCTGTTTCCCGGCCTGTTTTACTGAGGAAACAGAGGCCCCCAGAGCAGAACTCCCAGGCACCTCTGTCTGCTTCTCACACCACGGCCCAGGGCACCACCGGGCTTGCCCAAGGCCAGCTGCTGTGTGCACCGGCCGGGCTGTGGCCAGGCTGGCCAGGGAGGTGTGGTGGGCCCTGCGAAGGGGCTTTCCCCTGCACGGACGGCAGGCGCTCCAGTTATCCATGTCCGGCAGCCCCTGCACCGCCTTCCATTCCCTTTACAGGCCTCGGCTTTCACTTTGTTTCCTCCTGCGACCCAGGCCCTCTGGATGCCGCCCGCCTGCCCAGCGGCATCCCTAGGGGAGGCCCCGGACCTGGGGAAGGTGGGGGCTGAGCCTCTGCGGGTTGCTTCTGCGTACATTCCTGCCCCACATTCGTTTGGCATGGTTATTTTCTAAAGGTCAGGCCCCCTCACCTTCTGCTGTCCCCGCTCACAATAGGTCTCCTTCACCGGACTCCCGGGGCCTCAGACACTGTCTGGTTGCCATGGAAACCCCCCAGAAAGGGGGGCACAGCAACCTGATGCCAGTGACCACCTGGAGGCTCCTTATTCATCTTCGTGTCAGAGAATTCCCAGGGACATTCACGTCGCAATCCCTCTGGGGCCACAGGGGCCATTCCCTGACCTAGCTGGCCTCTATGAATCTTTGGGGGGAACTCAATTAAGACCCCAAACGAAGCAGAAACAAGCAGGGGCTGTCTTCCGAATGTGAGCCTCTGCTCCTGGCCCGCTCCACTCAGCCCGCCCCACAATCGCTGACTTGCATGCCTTCTCACTTGGGCCTGGCCTCCCCACCCTTCCCCACCCCCCACCCCCGTGTGGCTTCCATCTGCTCCCATGCCCACTTGAAAGTCTGTCACTTTCCAGGCCTCTGGTGACTGGGACATGACCAGCTTTTTGTCCCCACCCTCCGTGGAGAGCAAGCAGCACTGTGTGGGTCAGGAGACGCCTCAGAAGGGAAGAGGGACTTATCAAAGGCGCCTGGGGACGGGGGACTCGGGGCTTCAGGATTCCAGCAACGGGACACTGTACCTTAGCACCAGGAGCACCGGGAAAGCCAGGGCCACCAGCAGGACCCACGGGACCCTGAGAAAAGAGGGGGTGAGAGGTGAGCCTGGGACTCAGCGTAGTCACTCAACCACCTGGGGGAGCCCCACCTAGGGGAGCCCCACCCGCCCCGTGCTGGTTGCAACCGATAGCACAGGCTGCATCCCGGGAAGCTCCGAGAGGAGTCTGGCTTTTCTAGAAACTTCCTGAGCTCGAGCAGGGAAGGAATCAGACGTTTCTTTCATCCCCCTCTGTGGCCCAGCTGCTGGGTCCCCCAAAAAACCTGCAGAAGGGGAAATGAGCTTACCGGAGGGCCTGCAGGGCCTGGTTGGCCGTCATTGCCTCGGGCACCCTGTGAACAAGCAGACGGACAGCCTGTGAGCAGCCATTCCCTACCCCACAGGCCTCTCTTCCCAGCCCATGTGGGGGACACGGCAAAGGGCTGTCCCGGCAAAGCATGGAGACGGCCTCGGGCCCAGGATCCCCCCAGAAGCTCTGTGCGGTGGGAGTTACGGGTGGGCAAGGGCCGGCTCCTGGTGGGTTCATCTCAGACAGGTTCATTGGACTCCTGGGGGCCCCCGTGGGAGTCAGGGGAGCACTGTGTCCCACAGGGTTTGCAATGGCTGAGGGTCCAGAAACAGATGGGGGTGCCCTCAAACCTCTACCGCTTGCTTAGCAACCCCCAAGGTGTGTCGGCTTTCGCCCCTGAGGGACCCCTTCATGAAGCTCCCATCGGCTAAGTCACCATTCTTTAACTTCGTTTAGACTTCACGGATCACCAACACCTGGGGGAACTCCACTAACGGGAATAAACAGAATCTCACTCGCAGCCCCGCTCACAGGGGGAAGCCCGCTTGGAGCTCCAACAAGGCCTCAAGTCTAGGGTGCCCCCACGGGTTGGCCTGTGCCAACAGCCCCCCCTATAACCTGTTCCTGAAGGAAACACAGAGACCACCAGGATATTGACTGCTGACCCCACAAGAAAATATCATGATGGGAACAGGCACCACCCCGGGCCAAAATTCCCCCCCACCCCGCTCACCCACACACATCAGAGGGATGTTTCTTCAGCCAAGGCTGCCTGCTCCCTAGCTACAGGCCCGTGCTTCGAGGTTCCAGGGTTGTAGCACGCTCCCCCACCCCCGTTTCTCTCTCAGGGCCCAGGACACTGTATCAAAGGCAGGGAAGTCTCAGGAGATGGACCTGGGGCCTGGTGGTGGGGCACTGGCCCAAACAAGCCAGCTGACCTTTCCCCACTGGGCCTGCCTGCTCACCGCTGCCTCTTTTCTGAAAGCTCTGGAGAGGGGGGCTCAGGGAGGCAGTGTTCCTGGAAGGTTCTGGAGCACACTCCACCCAGGGCTGGCCCAGGGGAGATGCCAGGGTTTGCACAAGCAAGGGGAGCTGCCATGTGGTGCCCGGCTAGAGGAGCCAGCGCTGGGCTGGCAGGTCCCACTTCCCCTGGAGCAAGTCTGGCTCAAGGAAGGGCATGTGACCACAGCAGGCGGAGGCCGGCCAGGCCCGCACTTGGAACTAGTGAGCCTGGGCCTGCCTGTCTCCTTTGGAGAGTCCGGGAGTTAGCTAAGAGGAGTCTGATAGGTGGTCAGAGGAAGGAGGGGCAGAGCAGGGCAGCACGGGCAACCTTAGATGCCTGCCCTGCCAGCCTGCAGATTACAGTGGGGTCAGGAAGCAGCAAGGGGAATGGAGAAGCAGGGCCACTCCCTGGGGAGGAGGCACAGCCGGGAACTGCAGGTCCTTTCTCCCTCCGCACCGGATAAGGCCATGGAGTTCTGGCTAGAAAGTTCTGCCAGTTGCCGCAGGCTGGCATTCTGCTCAGCTGTCGAAACAGCCACGTCACCTGGCAGGCCCATGCTGTCTAATCCCCTCACACACAGTGACCTGGGGCAAGGCACTTGAGCAGCGCTGGCTGACAAATGAGGGTCCAGGCTGCCTGCTACTGCCCTGATCTGCTTGTGCGGGGGATTTCAGCCAAACAGATGCATTCTCTGGACAGCAGCTCCACTGAGTGAAGCCGTGGATTGGGGCCAGCCCTCCCCTGGGAGCTTGCCCGGGTGGCTGGGCATTCAAAATCCACCGACAGCGTCATGTTTCTTAAGCTCATCTTCCAGCGTTGTCCGCCCGACCAAGCGCCTCTACAAAGTCTCTCTTGCAGAAAGGGGCCTGAGCTAATGGCCTCGCTCACCGCCGCCGACAACCCCAAAGCTCATCTCCCACAGTCATGGGCGCCCTCCCTCCCACCTGAGGCCCTGCACCTTTGTCTGGGGCGATTTAACCTTCCATGCCCAGCAGGGAGACTGGATTTCAAAGCACTGGAGGGCTTAAGGACTGATATCACCATGGCCCGCTGCTTAAGGGCTCCGCTGCTAACCGAAAGGCGGACGGGCAAATTGAATGCCCTGGCCACTCAGAGGGGAAAAGATGTAGCACATGCTTCCTGAAGATCACAGCCCTGGAAACTGCAGGGGACAGGTCTCTCCTGTCGTGTAGGGTGGCCATGAATCAGAATCGACCCAGCGCCAGCGACTTTGGTTTTGATTTGATGTTGAACCTGGGAGGAGTAGTGGTTAGGCACTGGGCTGCTAACCGAAAGGTCAGCAGTTCCAAACCACCAGCTGCTCCACTGGAGAAAGACAAAGCGTTCTACTCTTGTAAAGAGTCAACCGTCTCGGAAACCCACAGGACCTACCGGGGTAGTTCTACCCTGTCCTTTAGGGCCACTCGGGGCCAGTGAGTTGTTGTTGTTGTTGCTATGGATCCTGTGAGGCGCTCCCTGAGTGGGAGCGACTGGTGTCACGTTAAGTTCTCATCAGCCACCAGCAGTGGCGTCCAGTGTGCTGCTGGACAAACCAAGGGGAGTCGTCCATTCTGACTCACAACAGCCCAGGGTCTGTCGGCGCACAACTGCGCCCCCTAGCGTTTACAAGGGCTGAATGATCAGCGCCGATTCTGTGGGCCAGGGGCCATCCTTCGAAGGTTGTCTCGGGGTGGACCCAAAGAGCCAGCCTCAGGGTGACAGGCAAGTGCGTTTGCCCTTTGCAGTCCCCAGCAACTCCAAGCTAAAGCCAAGCAGAAAGAACCCAGAGCAGCCTGGTGCCGAAGCCACTGCCCACATCTCTGCCTGCATTGGCTGGACTGTGTGGGGAGGAACTGGGAGGATGGTCCGGATAAGCCAGCCCTCCAGCCTCCTTCAGCTGTGCAGACCCAGCCCAGCAGTTCCTGTTGGGCGCACACAGAGCCAGTCCTTACTGGGAGCACCCAATGCCTGCCCTCCACCGCAGGGTTGTCCTGAGGTTAACAGAACATATGCAAGTGGCTGCCCAGCTTGAAGGCTCTGGACAAGGGTGGACTCACCGCAGCACCGGCAGGACCAGTCCGTCCTCGCTCGCCAGGCAGACCCCGGGGACCCTGGAACACAGACAAGGGCGGTGTAAGGACCCAGCATAGCCTCTTTTCCCTGGGGGTGGCCAGCGATGGGCAGGCCAAGCCAGGCAGCAGGGGTGTGAGGATAGTCCTGGCTTGCTGCCTTCTGGATGAGACCAGGACCCCTCACGTTATACACCTACGACTTTTCTACACCCCCCCAAAAGGTCTAAACTTTTGCTCAAGTGTTAAGAATGAAGAGAAGTTTCATGAATCGAAACCTGTTTTAACAGGTGGCGTCTAGTGCATACAGTTCGCCTTTTGCTCAGAAGCGGGTCAGGTCTTTCAGCCCAGCTCCCGGCTTTCCAACAAGGGAGCACTGATGGATGCCTACAGGGTGGCCACCTGTGGGGAGTGGGAATCATGGGTCTGAGGATCTCCGGCCACACTCACCATGGGACCCGGAGATCCATTCTCACCAGAGGCGCCGTTCTCACCCTGGGAAAAGAGAAAAGACCCGCCTGTCAGCACCTGTGACCCCATGCCTAACCCCCTGAAAACCTCCCAGCAAGAAATGGGGACCGGCCCTCCCAGCCAGTGCCAATCCACCCACATGCCACCCCTGACGGGCAGCTGGTTCCCCAAGGTGCCCAGGTCTGCTGTTCATCCCACCGCTCTCCTGGGGGCCTAACGCCACCAAGGGCAAGAGCCCCTCTCACCTGGAAAAAGAGCCCCTCCCTCCAGCCCCATGAACTTCATGGTCCTTACCTTAGCACCGGGAGCACCTGCTTCCCCCTTGGCACCGTCTAGACCTGGGTAACCCTAGGGGGGAGAGAGCATTCAGTCACGACTCTGGGGACCCTGGGCCACTGGCTGCTTTTCTCTGCCAGTGGCAGTCCCCATCCTCCCAATACCCCACCAAGACTCTTACCCTGTGACCTTTGACACCTGGAAGACCTGGGGTTCCTGGGAAACCACGAGCACCCTGCAATCACAAAAGGAAATGATTAGGACCCAGAGTAGAAGAGAACAAGGCCAAGGTTCACCCAGGCTGCTGGCTAGCAGGCCTTCAATGCCAGCTCCCCAGGCCACTGAGGACTGACTCGTGGGCCCCCCTCCCCAACCGTGCCCAGACAGCTTTCTCGTTAAACCCCGGTAAACACCTCCCCATCAACCCCGACTAAGCCTCACTCTACCCTCCAACCTGGGACAACTGAGTAGAAATAAGAGACACCAATTCTCCCTTGTGGGCCCCTGGGAGGGATCACAATGGGGAGCAGACCTAAAGGTGCACCCAAGTTGTTTAGGACTGTGCTTTTATTTTTGTTGTGCTCGGTCCCACTAGTTGCTTTCAGCCCAAAGCCACCCCGTGTGCAGAGCAGGAGAGTAGGAGCAGCCCTCCGGTTTCCTACGACCAGCAGACTGTCCCGTCTCCATCGTTCTTTCTGCTGCCGAGGCGCTGAGTGGGTTCCACCCACTGGCCTTCTGGTTGGCAGCGGAGCTCAACATCAATGAGCCTCGGCGTTTCAGAAGTCAATCAATCGAACTGGATGGTCTGGGCCTGAGGCTACTGCCTTGATTCCAAGGGGGCGGTGGTGGGCAGGAGTGGGAGGTGGAGGGCTGGGAAAGGTGGGCCCTTACCTGAGGGCCAGGAGGGCCTCTTTCACCAGATTTCCCTGGTTTTCCAGCTTCACCCTGAAGGGAGAGAAGGCGGGTTAGCACCCTGGGCAGGCTTGAGAACGGAATCCCTCCTCCCAACCCTCCAGGGCTCTCCTTGGCCCTCCTCTCACTCAGACTCCACATGCCCCGCCCCGCTCACCCTGCCCTTGGGGGGCCATGCTTCCTTCCAGTACCCTCACCAATGGCCAACGGGCAAGCTCCTGTGTCCCCATCCCGCCACCAGCTTCCCCAGGAAGCCTTGGCTTTTCCTCTCCTAGGCTCTGCTGGCTGGGCCAGCTCCCCCACGGGCCTCAGAGACTTGACTGCCTAATGACATTCACCCAGAGGCTCAGGGTGCTGGCTCTGGCACGTCTCTTCATTTGCATCCTGTGTAGACATCGGGACTGGGCCGGAGCTTTTTCTAACTCATTTACAATTAAGATAATGTTGGGTTGGTGAACATTTCTTTTTTTCTCTTCTCTCCATCTTTCCCCCTTGTGTTTTTCCTCTCCCTTCTCTGGTTTCTCCATTTCCTTTCTTGGGGCTGATGAGGTTTTAAATAGTCCCCTTCCCATTGGGTCCAAAGCAATCCCGGGGGAACCTGCGAGCCAAGTCGCAAGTGACAACACAGCTGGTAGACAGAGGCAGGGTTTACAGCTGGGCCGATCGTGCCCCGGGGGGCAGCCACTGTGTGCCAAGCCAAAGAAGCACCCGCATCGGGCGCCCCCACCCCCCATCCCCATGCAGTCCCTTCCTCAGTTTGTACTCACATCATCACCAGGTTTTCCAGGGGGGCCAGAAGGACCACGGGGACCCATGGGGCCCTACAGACAAAGGAAGAGTTTTAAGAGATGGCCAGAGGGAGAAGTTTCGTGAGGTGAAAATTGGGGGCTGTAGCTTTTGCAAGCTAGTTCTCCTGGAGGGAGGGAGGGAGGGAGGGGAAACCCCAATTTGTGCTGAGAGAGAGAGCTGAGCAGACCCTTGTGGGCAGTAGCTCCCAGCACAGGTCAGGAGTAAATCTGAAGGGGCATCTGGTGACTGGTCCCTGGGGCATCTGGCCCCATTTGTCCCTCCCTCAGAATTCCTCCAGAGCCATGCAGTGAGATGTGGAATGGCCTCTGGACCACAGTGCCCTGGAGGAAAGAGCTAGGCCAAGCCCAGAAGGTGCTGGCAACTGGGGGCTGGGGGTCTGAGTGGTGGACCATGAGCGGCTTCTCAGGAGAGGTGCAGGGTCTGGGCAGAGACTCACAGAAACTCCGGGTTCGCCAGGTTCACCAGGATTGCCTTGAAACCCTTGAGGTCCCTAAAAAGGCAAAGTGAGGGCACCACATTGACCCTTCCAACCGGGCATCAGGACTCCCGGCAGACACCCAGGCCATCGCCACCCCCTGAGGGGGAGACGCAGCACTTACCGGTGACCCGGCAGGGCCTGGAGGTCCTCTTGGTCCCATGGGACCCTGGAGCAGGACAGAAAATGAGGAGGTTCACTGGGAGTGCTTCACCCCAAGGCATGCGCATGCCACCTCCCTGCAGCCAATAAGGGCCAGACAAAGGACAAGGAGGTACGCTCTCGCCAGGGGGGCCTCTGGCGGCTGCTCCCTCTCATTTCCCACTCCCCAGGCCACAATCTCTTTTATGTAGAGGCACATTTTGGACAGAGAGGCTGGCCTTGCTTTCTCCTGGAAAGCCGCCATGTTTACTAAAGCCTGAGTTTCATTTAGCTTGCGCCAAGCGGGCTGCGGGGCTGAGATTTCCTGCTGGAAGTCTGGTGGATGCTGGAGCACAGTAGCCGCTGTCTGCGTTTGTCAGTTCTCGTTCCAAGAGCAATAGCCACCGGCCATCCAGCGGATCGGCCTGTGGGCAACTATCCCTCCGTCCTCATTCTTTGAGGCTGTAGTGTGGACTTAAAACCGGCACCGGGCACCATTAAAAGCCAACTGTGTTGAGCTGGCTAGCCGGGAGGTTACATAACTGCTGCGTAAGAGCCGCTTGGAACCATTATCTCTAAGGCAGAGCCTGTCAGAGCTCTCTGGCTCTGCTGAGGGCCCTCCTGGAAAGAGTTGATAGCCTTACTCACCATTGGCCCTTGCATAACTCCCATCTGGGCTCCTCCAGCCTTCTCATCGAAGCCTCCAGCCATCTGGGCAGCAAAGTTCTGTAAATAAACCACACACCCACCGTCAGGTGCTAAAGAGGCGCTAGACCTTTCCCTGTAACTGGATAGGAAGAATGCCATGGAGATGGCTGAGAACTGCTAGAGACTAGATGAGCATCCATCCCTAAGATACAGGCATGAGTGATCTGATGACAGTGGCTAATTCAGTTCCCAGGAAGCTGAAGGATTATTCAGGGGACCATCCGTTACCTGCGTTTTTGTTTTATAGGATTGTTGTTTGTTTGTTTTCCTTAATTCTAAAGCATTAAACACACCCTTTAACATACATGGAGACACGTTACTGACACGACTCGTAAAGGTGATCCACCTCTACACACAAGACTTGGCTGCCCAACAAAGGACTAAATCATAACCAGCCATCTTAAAATATTTCACCAAAGAATGCAGTAGGCATCTGTGAGTCCATTTAAATTCAAGGATTGAAAAGCCAGCAAACACCAGCACGCAGACCTGCAAAAACTGGGCAATCTTGCAGTTTGCTGATGGGGTGGATTCCAAAAAGGCCTTTAGTCACACACACCTCCACTCTGTGGGGCTCTTTCATGAGAAGGAATAATTGCCTGGAATGTACTTGGCCAGGGCCGAGGGGAAATGTCTTCCAAGGACAGTGGTCACTCTACTTCCAGGGAAACACAAGTGCCCAGTCATCCTCTCCGCCTGACCATCTCCCCCACTACCCCCACCAACCACACAGTCCAGACACCAGGGAGCCAGGTAACTGAAGACCTTTTTCTCAGAATGCCAGTGAGTAATAATAATTTTTTAAAAGTCCATCCCTTAGCACCGTACATCTCATGCCTAATATGTGATTCCACTAAATTTCAGGCTCGGGAGAGAAGCCTCAGGAGAGGCTATGCACACACTGCTGGCCGCCCTGGGAGGCAGCCAGGTAAGCCCAAACAGCAATTTACAGGCCACATCTCTGGAGGAACAGCCTGAAGGAAGGGGAAGTAAGGATACTCACTCCACCAAGACCAGGGGGACCAGGGGGGCCAGGAGGACCGGGCGGACCAGGGTTTCCAGGGGTCCCAGGCTCTCCATCTCTGCCACGAGGTCCAGGGGCACCCTTGGCAGAAAGAGAAAAGGCATCCGTGAGCAACAGCAGTTCAAAACTGAAGACTCATCTGACCACAGGCTGCCCTTGGGCAGGTAGCCAGGCATGTGGCAGAGCCTCGGAGGACCTCGGGAGGGCTCAACGGGTCCTGCTTCTCGACTCACTTTTTCGCCTTTGTCGCCACGATCACCTCGGGGGCCTTGTTCACCTGCAGGTCCCTGGAGGTGAAGAAAACGGTGAGGCGGCAGCCGGGCTCTGCAGATCAGTCACAAGTGGAGGCGATAAGGAAGTGATGGTGAAGGGTTCTATCCCCTTGCTTACCTGGGGCCCAGGAGGTCCTTTGGGTCCTACAACCTGTAGCAGAGAGACCCACAGGAAGGCAGGTTAGACAGGAGCATGGGGAAAGAGCCTGTTTTGAGCAACAGATGCAACATAGCGTGAGAGTAATCTGCACTTACATCCTTGATGTCGCCAGGTTCTCCTTTCTGTCCCTGAAATGGGAAACACGATGGGGATTCCATTAGGTCAATCCATTAAGCCCGGGGACAGAACCCTGTCCAGTAGCCCCCACGTGGCAGTGCCCTCTGCAATAGGCAGCTCCCCAAATCTAAAGAATGCTCCCGGGGAATGACAGGCAGGGTTACCCCGGCACTGCCTCGGAGGAAGGAATGATAAAGGCGAAAGCAAAGAGCCTCACCTTTGGTCCTGGGTGCCCTGCAGGGGGAAAAAGGAGAGAGAGAGAAGGAAAATGTAAGATCCATGAATAAGAACAAGCTCTTTTCACACCAATGCTCTTTAGGGACCCGATAAGAAAAGGACACATGGGGGCAAAGAAGGGGGCAGCTTCCTGGTACTGGTACCCTTCTGAACCCCTGTGATGGGGTGTTAGGGTCCCTGAGGTCCTGAGGGAATTGAGAGTCCCGTGAGGAGAGGAGGTGACCCAGACTTCATGGAAGCAAGGGAGAAGCTGAAGAGCCCAGCCCCAGTCAGCTGCAGAGAAGGGAACCCAGCAAGCACCCACCACAGGCAGAAGAATCATTCTCTCTGGTTCCCAAACCAACCGAGCAGGAAGCCCCTCTGGTGCCCCAGCCCCTCCCAGATGAAGAGTTAGGCATTTAGAAAGGTCTTACGTTAGAGCTGGGTCTCCTTGGAGCAAGCGCAAAAAAACAGCAGGGCACAGGAGTTACAAAAAGCACTATAGCCACCGCGGCCAACACCCCCCCCCCAACCAATGACCCTCCCCACCTGCAGCAGCCAAATGGCAAAGGCAATCCCCTCTTCACCCACTGGGCTCCTCAAAAGTGATCTGGGGGGGTCTGACTCATGAAAACAGCTCCCCAGAGGATGCCCGTGTGGTGAAGTGTAAGGAAAGGCAGCTTCTCATTTCCCCTTTACCTGTGTTCTCTAACTTCCAGCACCACCCAGGAACCCTAGACACGTCTCCATCCACTTTGTATGGGGGTGACTGGAGGTGGGGGTAGCGATGGCGAGTTTGGGTGCTGGGGAAGGGTCACGTGCACCTCACCCACCAGCACTATTTGCAGCTGGGAGTGCAAGACTTGTCCCAGCCCATCTCCACCCTCACCAGGAGAGCCCCGTTCTGCTATGATTAACAAGCTTCATAACTGGCTGGCAGTGCCAACAGGGGAAACTCCCGCCAGTGTTCCCAACTTCAAGGAGGGAACCAGACCCCTCTGGCTCTCCACCAGCTGCCAAAGATGTCTCCATGCTGAAAAGCTTATCTTTGGAAGCCTTCTTGGGAGAAGAAAGGGCGTGGCGACAGGGAGGGGGGGATTAATTTGTAGTTTGGCCAAACCAACAGAGGATTTGATCTCCATTCTGGCGCTAGTAATTTGCAGATGCTTCTGAAGCGGATGTGATCGTGGAATCACATCTGTCCTGCCAAGTGTCTTAGAGCCACATGTGTCAGGGGGGAGGAGGCAGGGAGACACACATTCCATGAGTCAGGACCCGTGTAATGTCCTAGACTCGCTCCGTCCCAGGCTGCACTGGGAGGGTAGGTATGTAGGCAAATGAGAAGTGCCCTTTCCTTCTGCCCTAGCTGCTGGGGTCCCATGGATGACCTGCCCCTCCGCTTTGCCGAGAGGGCCTGCATCCATGAGCGAGCCTTTGCTGCACCCACAAGTAATTTATTTATGTGGACCAGGAAATAAATAAATTACGACCACTGGCAGTGGCGAGGTCAGTTGGGCAGATGGGGCAGCACTCTCCGAAGGGGATCTCGGGCCTGAGGCAGTCTTTCACATCTTCACAGATTATGTCGTCGCAGAGGACAGTCCCCGTGTCACAGACACAGATCCGGCAGGGCTCGGGCTTCCACACATCCTTATCATTATACCTCTGCCCGTCCTGCACACAGCTGCCAGCCTCCTCTGCACGGAGGGCGGGGCAGAGGGAGCAGAGAGCCAAGGGAAGAAGGCAGGAGGGAGCCAGGAGAGAAAAAGAGAAAGAGGTTGCAGTCAACGCAATGTCATTCCAATGCAGAAGGATGGGTTTGGGCCACCTGGACAAATTCACTGCCATCAAGTCAATTCCGACTCATTGTCACCCTGTAGGGTTTCTGAGTCTGTACCTCTTTACAGGAGACGAAAGCCTCATCTTTCTCCTGAGGAGGGACTGGTGGATTCGAACTGTGGACCTTGCCAGCGATCTCTCTGGGAAAGCATCTGTTCTTCCAGAAAGGCGCCCTGGTGCCATAGTGGGTTGCACGTGGGGCAGCTAACTGCAAGGTCAGCAGTTCGAGAAAGATGAGGCTTTCTACTCCCATAAAAAGTTATGGTCTCAAAACCCCACAGGGGGCAGTTCTACTCTGTCCTATAGGGTGGCTGTGAATGAATCCAAATCGACTGGGCAGGAGTGAGTCATTCATTGGTTCTGGTAGTCCACAAATCTTGACTGTATGGCCCGCGCCATGTGGTCAGCTCAGCCGTGAAACAACTGTCCTGGCATTGATGCTGAGGGGGCTGCTGTAGCATATTCTCTGCATACAAGCACACACACACACATATTCTCTGCACACAAACAAGCACACACACACACACACACCCCACCCTAGGCAGGGGATATTTCAGGGTGAGTGGAAGAGGGCAAGACTCTTCCGTAGGACTCTGGGACTCTGTCACAATAGAGAGGGCACAGAGGCAGCGGAGAGACCTTCTCTTGTCTGCTTTCCTCTGGGAATCCTGGGAGTTAACATTCAGAGAAAATGTGGAAAATTCTATGCACAGAAGATTAGAGTCTATGAAGAAATGTCTCCACAAGTAGATGTATTAGGGGACGGAGCAGGAGGGGCCTTTGGAATTGAGACCTGGTCTCATTTTGTATGCAAACTTAGGACCAATTCAGAGAGAGGGGTAGGCCCAAACCATACACAGGAGGCAGGAGGAATCCCGGAAAGAAATGCCTTGGGAGGCTAGCAGGGGCAAAGTCTCCCATCCCCCACCCGACCTCCTCCAGCTCCATCCCTGGAGAAATCCCACCTCCATTCAGCACCCTGAGTTGGGGAGCGAAGGGGTCTTTGACCTGCTGGTCCCTGCTAAGATGGGCCAGTCCAGGCCTGGCCCCCTCCAAGAATGCGGACTAAGCACAGGACAGACCAGTCCCTCCTCACCAGCGCCCTGCCGTCTGGAATTCACGCTGCAAAGGAGACCTGTGCTGCCCGCCCGGAACGCTCCGAACGTGCCCAGAGGAGTCCCGCACCACGTGCTAGCGAGGGCCCTGAGCTGCTGGCCTCATCAAAACCCCTGGGACTGGAGCACCCGCGGGCCAGCAGCTCGGGCAGACCAAGTGGGCGGGGAAAGAAACAGGCCCGCCCTCTGCTCTTGACCGAGCCGGCGAAAATCTGAAGATAAACGTGTCTTTGGTTTTTCCTTGTCCACTAAAAGAACCCCATTTAGCCATTAGGCAAGATAAACACTGCGGAGGGGAGGGGAGTGTGGACACACCACCGCTAACATAGAAAG